TAACAGAATTCGAGAATTGGGTGAATATGAAGTGCCATCTATATTCTTTCTAATACAGAGTTACATTCGGAATAGGTGAAACGAAATCACTCTAAATAATTAATACCATTACAATCCAGGCATCTTTGGCCAAAGAGTATTCCATTGCATTACATAAGCTGCTTCGGAAACCAGTGTATGACTTTGACTTAGAGTATTTCTGGCTAACGTTTTTTAACCTACGTTTAGAGGATGCCGCTATGACAGTTCAACGAGGAAAACGTGAAGTTGTTTACCGACCTTCTTTTGTCGATGTTATGGAAAGTGTTTTTGCCCCTCCAGAGCCATCTTCCGATAGGATCATTGACATACGCCGGCGTCCCGCAGAGTACTTTCAAGTCAAATGTCCATGCGACTTTCAACAATATACATATTGCCCTACTTATAAACCTGGAGATGAAGGTAACTGAGAATATGTAATTCACACAAACAAATATTCAAAACAAGAAGAAGCTTATTTAATCAAAATGTTAAATTGATCTCAACTGAATTGATTCACACGTGAATATATATGGGCAACTAGCATACCACGTCTTCATGAACTTATGCTTTCCAAATAGTAACGAAGTAAAAGTAAGTAGCTACATACATAGAGATTATCCTATATGAGGTTCAGGATATTGGGATTATCCCGAGGCTAATATAATATATCTGCCCGGGGCCGTAGGTCCCGAGGGTAGATATATTATATTGGCAAAGGGATAATCCCAATATCCTGAACCGACTGAATGATGATATGTTTATCCCATACCAATATTCATGGTCATTTGGTTCACATTTGTTCCATAAGAAAATGTCCAACCAACCGTTGAATTATTATAGCATACTCATGTCCAGTTTTGGTTTCTTGGCCGCGACCACATTTTCCTGTTCTTTCAGATATTCATCCACATTCATTTTCTACAATCGTTGATTATTAACAGGGATACGTATGCCCTTCTTAAAACCATCAAACAGATCGCGATTTTCTGTGTTTTTCTCCGTTGTCGTTTACAGTTATTATGCCAACGACCAATATGCGAACGGCGATTATGACGTAGCGGGCAGATATACTATATCTGCCCGCTCCGAGCGGGACGTAAAGATATATCTGCCCGCTAATGAAAACATAAGTTTTTACAAACCGGCTTCATGTACCTGTAACACATGCTCGTATGGGATAAAAGTGTATACGTTGGTAATGGATTTATCACCATCCATTACTTTTAACTTCCTTTTCTTTAAGCGGAATTTTTGAAAAATACACTGGATTTGTCGTTCAACCTGAAGATGTAATATGAAATTGAAATTCCTATCTTTATCTTGTATTTAATCTCGTGTGTTTGTTGTTTCATGTGATTTATTGCTAAAATAATCTACTAAACGATGTTTCTAATGTGTGTATACGTAATCATTGTTGTATCCTGATCATTAATTGTAACAATTTCTGTTTAATGTGGTATCGCAGCACAAGGTTGTAGTTGGAGCACATGGACTAGCACTTACAGCGCATGCTCTGTAACATGTGGAACTGGTGTAAAAACTAAAACACGCACCAGAACTAAACAATACAGCACTGCATATACCGGAAGATGCGAAGGCGACTCACAGGATACTTCTACATTACGTTGTATCAATCCGACTAGCCAAAGCTGTCAGGGTATTACATTTAATATAGCAATCTGCAATCGTGTTGTTCCCACTTTACACAATCTCCATATTAAACTTATATATGCAAAGGGGGAGGGGGGTTATTATAAGAAGTAATAGTTCATATTATTACCCAATATTTCAGTTAGTGGGACTGGCGATGTTTGATGAGATTTATTACTACCCCAAGAACGATATTGCTCAATTTATTGTTGTTATCAATGAGAAACCCTGATAATTATAATATTTTTTGTTGTCGGTATACCAGTACCAGGTTGTAGATGGAACGCATGGTCAAACTGGCGATACAGCGCATGTTCTGTTACATGTCGAATAGGAACAAAAACTAAAACACGATTCAGGACTAAACAATACAGCACTGCATTTACCGGAAGATGTGAAGGCAACTCGCAGGAGACTTCTACATTAAGATGTTTCAACCCATTAAGCATAAAATGTAAGTGTAATTATTTTGATATGTCACTGTACAATCGTGATGCTTCTATTCAGTGTAATATTCATATTCAAATTATGAATGACCCTTGGACTTCAAGTGATGTACCCATTGCAAGAAGTAGGTTTCGTCTTTTAACCTCTGAATAAACAAAATGCCAATACGTATTTACCACTTTCACAACCAGGTGACTTTGGGCCAGGTAACATGGTATATATCGGGTGGGAATAAAAATGGGCCTTACTTTCATGCTACATTGACCAATTATTCATTATTCAAACACTTTCAGCCTTTAGACATTCAAATTGCATGATGTTAATAATATAATGACCACTTTTCAAGGTTATAGGTTAAATAATCTGTTCACTGGGTAAAATTGAAAACAAAACCTCGAGGCACAGGGCTAACAATATCGTACCTAAAGCATAGCACTGTGGGCTTGATGACTCAGAAAGCAAGATGGCCACCGAAATGAAAATCAGCTCTTGAATTTCTTAACATGTAACATGTGTAAACATTTGATGTAATCATGTTAAGTGGTTTTCTTGGAATCGTGATGACAATATCCATATAAAAACTTCGAAAATGGCTACCAGAATGCCAGATGGCCGCCGAAAAGTCAATCAGCACTAGAACTTCTTACCATGATACATCTGTAAAAATTTGAAGTAATTCAAATAAAAAATTCCAAAATGTCGCCAGAATGCAAGATGGTCACCGATATATTATCAGCTCTAGAACTTCATACAATGCAACATTTATAAAGATTTGAGGTAAATCCATTGAGTTGTTATCCTGGAATCCTGATGACAAGGAAAGTGAAACACCCCCGTACGCCCACTAAGATGACGACAATATCGTACCTTTTTAAGGAACAATAAAAACGCACGTTCCGATTACTAATGCCCTCGAGGAAGGAAGTCGGGAAAAAGTGGGATATTTTTGTCAAGAGTTTTTCGGTAAGATTTACAAGCCCTATTTATATTATAAGCGACATTCCAAGACTTGGCTAAAACGTTTTAGGAAAATCATGTTGAGTTTACACCACCATTTTCAAGACGTCTTACGAAATATAATTGAGCTTGCACCTGTTTTTCAAAAACGTCTAAGAGATATGTAGGTATACAATGTAACATGAAATAAAAAACAGTTTAGTACAGATTTCATGGATTTAAAGGACGGTTCAGTCAACATAGCCATTCCATTCCCGCTTCTATACATTGTGCTAAAGAATGTATCGGTTTCACAAAAAGTGTCCTAAATAGAGCATTGCCATGAAAGAGAGCACGAATCGATTTTGAGACCAAGATTTGGTGCATATATTAGGATTATGATCGCCAGGCGAATTAGTTCTTTTCGATATCTTTGGAATCATATTTGGAACAAGGGATGAGACAAAAGAAAGGACCATCGACGCATGTAAACAGATCCATCCACCGTTCAGCGCAACGCAAAAACGGACTGAGAGCTCTTAGCTAAAACCAATGGATTTATACTGGCTTGTAAAACGAACGCTAAGACGTCTTGGCTATGACTAGGGTCCTAAAACGTTTTAGCTTAGCGCTCATAGCCGACAGCTCTTGAGAAAATCTGGATATACATTACGTTTGTAAAACATTTTAACGCTAAAATGTTTTACCCGAGACTTCTTTGGGCTCTAGTGTAAATCAACTCTTAAGGTTGCCCAGGACCAGTTCATGGAAAAACATTCGTGCACTATCTAACGAGAATATACGTTCGTGCGCAATCTAACGAGAAGACGGAGGACCGATTGATCACCTTTTCAAGTGAAACAAGGAAGGGCGGCATTTTGAAATATCCCCAATCCAAAATATCATTTTGAGTGTGCTTTTGTAAGAACTAAATTGACTTTGTAAGAAGTGAATGTAAGAGGGTTTCAGAGATATCGAGTGTCAAAATACGGCTTATTTTCTATGCCCACCCGATATAGTAGAACGTTCGATTCAACTTGAATATTTATCAGTTTTAGGGGATCAAGTTTCATATTACCAAGTATCTGATAATTATACAGGTCAAAATACAGGGTGGACATTTTTCTATTTATTCAATTTTCTTTATTATTGCAGTTCAGTCCACAAAAATTCAGATAGCACTAAAATGATTATTCGTAAAAATGTTTAAGATAAAACTATATATGTATGATTAATTTTGGCTTGTCATGGTCTTGATCTGTGTACTGAGTGCGTCATGAAAAAATTCAAAATTTTCTCTGTTTGAGACATCATTGCTCAAAAAACAGTATCTCATACCATACAATATATGCCCTTCAAATGGTCTCAACACAATTTCTATCAATTAAAACATAGGTAGTTATCTCTAGGAGAACCCTTCCTTGGATAATATAGCTTAACGGACTTCAGCTTTTTTCAAAACTGGCACAATATGTCTCAACCCTATCATTTTTTCAATTTTCTAAAGTATTGAATATGACTAAGAAAAAAGTTCCATTTTTTAATCAACGCAAGGGTTTCCTGAATTTGTCCTCCACACACCTGAACAATCAGTCTGAGCTGTATTTCATAGCTTAAATGACAGGTTTTGAGAAATATTGTGCCAGTTTTGAAAAAAGAGTTGAGATCAGTTAGCTATATTATTCAAGGAAGACATGTCTTGCTTCTCCTGGAGATAACTACAGTTTTAATTGATTGAACTTGTGTTGAGACCATTTGAAGGGTACATATTATATGGTATGAAAGATGCTGTCTTTTCAGCAGTGGTGTCTCACACAGAGAAAATTTGGAAATTTTCATGACACACGCAGAATACAGATCATGACCATGACAAGCCAAAAATAATCATACGTATGTGACCCATGTAAAGCCAATAGGAATATGTAAAACAATTTGGAGATGTGTAA